AGGGCTAGAGTTAGGTTTAGGGCAAGTGTCAAGGTTAGGGATCGGCTAAGTGTAATTTTAAGGCAAGGGTCAGGTGTTAGGTTTAGGTATGGATTTAGCTTAGGGTCAGGGTTAGGGTTAATTGTATGTTCAATTCTATGTTATTGAATGGTGCGTAAGATGCGAATGCGCAAGGATATCTTGTCTCGAGGCAAGACGTAAAAATACAACGAAAAAAAACGTCAAAAACGTACGAAATTACTGCACGTAACTTTTCGTACGATTTCATACGAACTGATAATGAGAATACACTGAGACGTTTCTCTGCCCATCAAGGAAACTCTTTCAATTCAAAATGTCGGAAATAGCCTTCAGTTCCAGGTTTTATCCAGCAGCCCAACAAAGCCTGGTTTTAGTTTAGAAAACATGCAAATTGAAACAGACGGACGAACGGGTCCCCCCCTTTGGAATGGGGGTCGTTTGGCTTCTTTGTTAAAGAACCAAAGGCTCCATTATTCTTTTTTTTTTAACATGATTCAAGCAACCATTATTATTATTAAATGCAACAGGCTCTGTCAGTGAAGCTGGCATAGATATTAATATGTAGAGGTAACATTGGAGCTAAATGCTATGATAAAAAAAAATCTGTTATCAAGATAATATAATTGTAATAAAGTATGTTTTAGCAGAGCGGTTATACTGCAATAAGTTTACATATGTAACACAAAAAGCAACAGAACATACAGGAATGGAAAATTTATTTTTAATACTTCCTCAACTAGGAATATACCAGCTTCAAAATATTAAAAACTCAAAATCATAAATATTAATCAGCTTTATTGATTCTGAGGTTTCTTGAATTAAAGGATTTAAATAAGCAGCTAAATGTGCTTTTCTTTCTCGTCTACCATGAATTGTCTCTGTGTTTTATAACAGTCAAAATATTAATGTATACTTTGGAGACTTATTTTGATAGACCAATGGAATAAAATGTGTTAGAACACATGTTTCTTTTCTATTTCTAAATACCAATTAATATCTAGAAATCACAACATGCAAATGCATTTAGTTCCAAGAGTCAATAGTTACACCAAATTTATGACTTATAGATTTTTTTTTTCTATTTGTAAAGAATATTTTCTTTCTCTAAGCAGCTCAAACAATCAGTGGATAGAAAATATCTGTGAACACAGATTATCTCAGATCTGGACCTTAACTGGAACATTTTAATGAATGCTCTTATCTAAAAGTTTTTATCTTTTATTTCGCCTTTCCTGTTCCTGTGTGTCTGTGACTCCATCCTGGAGAGAAATAGAATTTCTGCTAGAATCGAATTTTTGCTTTTTCAAGTAGAATGGGAGGCAGATCTTTTAGTTCTCAGGCTCCTCTCCTGTGGAACCAACTACCAGTTTTAGTCTGTGAGGCA